ATGAATTATCTTGGTATATTTGTTTCATTGATGTTCTTCAGTTTATAGCTAAATGTCTAATAAAATGACCAGTTGGTTTGTATGTCATGTTGAAACCCACAATAATTTAGATTTCATTCTGATCAAAATCCCATGTCTTTTCTGTTGGAATTTCTTAGGGAATTATACATTGATTTATTTGAACTGGTGTACTCATCTTGGTTTCATAATCTGCATACACTTAATGCAGTAGTGCAATGAACTTCTGAACATAATCATGCACTTTGTTTGATGTTTGTGAGTTCAATCCCTGGGTTCAATGTTACTGAAATCCATATACTATTATTTAGTGGAACAGAAACATCACAAAGAAGAATTAATACAAGATATCTTTCTGCATGGATAGTGGAATGAGAACCCCACCCTCACCCCACATCCCAGTAGAGGAATCCAAGAATGTGTACCAAATATGACACTGGAAGAAATTTGTAGAGCAGAAAGCTGAAAGATTGTGACTATAACAACCGAGAAGAGAAAAGTTGTTTGAATAAATCAGTTCCACATCAATCTATTTTAACAGACTCAGAATAGACAATTTGATTATTGACAAGCATATTTATATTGTATTGATAGCTACATGCTTGCAGTTTATGGAAATTCTATGTGAGCTTATATAATGATACATTGATCACATTGCTTTTAACTAAGCTCAACAAATGAAATATTAAAGCCAAAATTTCTCTCAAACAAATCACTTATGAGAATAACATTATAATATTTAAAGAAATCATCACTGTTAAGCTATCCAATACTATAAATTTATCTAAAACAGTTTCATAGCCCACTATTATTAGGTTGATGCTAAAGTATCCAGAATTCTTAGATAAAACCATTTTCATAGCATCATTATTCAGTCATCAAAGTATTTTCCCTGGTTTTCTATGACCTTCCATCTTTCAAGTAATTTGCATATTCCATCATAAAAGAAAAATTCCAGTTTTGATTTTGCAGGACTGCTGACCAAATAACAAATTTTATATAGAGCAAAACTGGTGATAACCTGAAGGTAATAATCTTGGAGAATATTCCTCATATGGAAGAATTTCTTATGTTGATTTTCTATTTATCTACATGGTCATGCAGCAAATCTCTGGTCAATATCTTTGCTCAGAAAAGGCCTTTTTTTACTTCCAGTTATGTCATTCAAATGAGCCAATTGCTCAGTGTAGCATCACACAACAACTGTATGTCAAGGTTACAATTTATTATAATGAATTCCTTTTGAACCACACCAAGAACAAAACGTTCAACAGTAAATTCCATGTAGGTTGAGACATTTAAAGATGTCCTAGATCCAACCACAGTTTTCTTCATTTTCTATCCATGAAATAAATCCATTTAAAAAAGTATTACATTGTGACCATTACAAAATAATTTGCATATATTTTTTTACGTTTATAAAATGTTTTTTATTCATCAGTTGCCTGTATTGAATTTAAAAAAATTACATGTTGTTAATATATATACTGCACGTTTTTTATGTATTATTCACTACAACTGATATATAATATTTGTATATTTTATTTTGGCTAATCTGATACTATTCAGAATGCAGCACCAGATTCCAATAGTCCTGGTGTAGAAGAGGAATCAAAAATTACAAAAAGAAAACTTGAACAAGAGGTTGGGATGATTTTTTTAATTATTTGCTTCATCAAAGACTGATTTTCTTTAAAACTCTTGTTTACATTACTATTATAGTAAAAGCACACAAACTCTAGAGTTGATAGTTTACAGAGCCGATAGTTTACAGAGTTGATATGAGTATGGTATACATATACAAATGTAGGACCAAGAATAGAAACCACTTTTATATAATAATACAAAATTATACCTTTATTGCAATTACATTTTATATATTAGGTGCTACTCAAAAGCTTCAAGAATGAACAGGTGAAGCAGGGCTTATACTAAGTTTCTACTATGTTGTTATATACAGCAATCTCAGTAATTTTTTTTCCTCTCAAAAGAGTTCATGCATTGTAAAAAGTCTATGTTCATTTAGTTCATGCATGCTGTCTGTATTCCCTGAATTTTGGGGTAGTATTTTGTATATTTGTGGGTATATACGCACACATACATCAAAAGCTCTATGGAATCACATTATCTTTCAATATAATATTTTATAAGGAATAGTAAATGCTTAGATTGAAACTCAAGTAACCTAATTTATGTGGCCTATTCTCTAAACATCTAAGTTGTGGAGGCAAATAGATTATAATAAGTATATATGAATCTATTACTGTCAGAAAGCACAACTGAAACAAGAGAATTTTTGTTTCCTTTTATAACACTTATGATACTATGAGTGGGCAAGAATACAGTCATTTTGATAGTAGTAACAAAATAGAACAATTTGTTGTATAAGGAAGATTTTAAAATTATAATATGCACAGAATGAAAGCAATTTTAAATACATAAATTTATTTATAAAATATTTTCTTTTTTAATTTTGCATGAAAATATTTATTTGAATTTTAATAACTTCTCAGAATATTTTAAATATATAGATAAAGACTTTCCATGATCTATATAAAGAGTGATACAAAGAAAGGTTTCATGACTTAAACTGTTTTTAACTTTTTGAAAGGTACACTTTTGGAAACCCATATCACTGTTTTTCTTAAAACTTGTTAAAATGATTCTTTTTCTACAATATTTCAAAATCAAAATAAATTTAAGTTTATTTTTACTTTCGTTTTTATTGACTGAATAATATCTAATTATTTTGTTATTTATTATTATGAAATTCTTATTTTAATGTCAGGCTTTTTTTTGTTAGCAAAGATGTGTTCAATAGACTTTAATACATATCTTACTGGCATCAGTTTAAACTAATGCCTTCTTTTTTCTATATATTGTGACTAGTTTGCTTAAAGTTTGTATTTTCTTGATTTCAGAAGAAAACTTAAAAAAGTTTTCTAACATATTTCAGTGAAATTTTCACTTTCCAAAATGATAGTTTTTAATTTTAGTTTAGATAAATAGAAAAAAGTTTAAACTGACACCATAAGGACATGGATTAAAAGTTCTCTCTTAATAAAAACTATTCTCTTATTCCTGACCTGGAAATACACTTTTTATTTTAATAAATTGTACTTGAAATTTTTCAAACCCAACTTGAGTTATAAGTAGAAATTCTGAAAATGATTCACTTACAGAATATTTTCACCGTTTATTGCCTTAATGTTTTATTTAAAATAACATTTCTAATTTGAATTAAAATCAATTGTCATTTATTTGTTTTTAAACATATTAAAAAAATAAACCTGTTTCCTAGACTTCAACATTTGCTTTTCCTTTTTTTTTTTATGTACAGAATAAAACAAAAGAAAGCAGTGAATTGACTGATGACAAGAAAAGGTAAAATAATATTAAATATCAAAAACTTGATTATTTATTATATGTGCCACTAAGGAAAATTAAATCTATGTTGCAAATTTTCATTCTTCCTTTTATTTTAGGAAAATAAGAGAACAAAAATCTGGGGAAAACACTGAAAAGACAAATAAAAAGGACAAAGTCAAAAGTAAACCAGTGACTTTTATTCCAGTTAATAGAAAACCAGAAATGCAGGTTTGTGAATTTGCTTTTGTTTTATATTCTTACTAGTTAATTGATGATTTTATTTCAGCTACTTAAGATTAGATATTAAATTGACTTGTATGATGGCTGAAATAGTTGGAAAACTTTCTAAATATCAAAATTAAACATTAACACTTTCAACACTTTAGATTTTTTTTTATTTTTTATTTTTTTATTGACTGACAAATTGTGAGATATCAATGTTTTGTGTCTGTATATCACAAATCATAGGGTCTTGAAAGCATACATACACACATACATACATACATGTACATGTATATATATATATATATATATATATATATATATATATATATATATATATATACATACACAAGTATATGATTGGTGTATATGGAATAAATTCCAATAACCAACAATTACTATTCTTAAAAGAGTGCTCAATACAGAGTAGAGCAGATATAATTATTTATTTAAAAATTATAACATAAATATTTTTGTAGTGATTTTATAACCTATTTATGTTATAATTTTTTTTTTTGACTACTTCATAAAGGGGTTTTTTTTTGTTTTTTTTTTTTTTTTTTTTTTTTTGTAGGGCATTTAAACTTTTTATTTAGACTATGGAGTTTAAAATTTGTATTTATTATTTTATTGTTTGTTTGTTTTTTATGCTAATTATTCAATGCGAAAATATGATGATGTCTGCAAAAAACCATTAACTCATGTCTATTGTTTAATAAATTTTTATTATTTAGAAACTTAATAATGTGTAGTTTTTCATGTAGGCATAAAAGGGCATGGGTCATCCTAAGTTTTACAAGTTCTAGTTTTGTTTATAATTTTACATATGAATAAAGATGTATCAGTATGTCCACAGCAGCAGAATTTGGGTGGGGGTATGATTTCACCTCAAGCAAGGCAATAAATCCACTAAGACTCAAGTGGTTACTGAGTGTGAAAGAATATGAGAAAAAGAAACCATTATTAAGGATAGAGAGCAATAAAAGAACAGGAATTCAAAAGACAGAAGATAATAATTGACATTGCTTTTATATTTTTGAAGATCAAAGTTGACTAGAAAGTAAGAGATTGAAAGCAAAAAGTGCAAGAGAAGAAACTGTTAGCACAGAACCTCTGGTGACATGTAGCCATATTGAACTGTAAAATGATGAAACCTTGCCACCAATGTTAATGATTTTTGGTACTGAATGTGTTAACTTATCTGCAATAATCTGAAAGAATTTCTTTTTTTTTTTCTTTTTTTTTCATTTTTATTGACTGACAAATTGTTTGGTTTGTAAATCATAAATTTGTCTCATTTTGCTAAAAATTAGCCTGCTTTTTTTTTCTTTTTTCTTTTTTATCAGGAAGCTCGTCTAAAGCTTCCAATTCTTGGTGAAGAGCAACAGATTATGGAGTCTATTAATGAGAACCGAGTAGTCATCATTGTTGGAGACACAGGGTCTGGTAAAACCACCCAGGTACCACAGTTCCTTTATGAAGCTGGATATGCACAGTAAGTAATAGAATCAGATAAAATTAATCTTTTAAAAAAAAGTTTTCTTAAAAATTAATCAAAGCAGCTGAGAAAATAGTTTTTAATATGAAGTTATATTTAAAAATGCTATACATTTGTATTTGTAAAGTTTGTGGTCATATGCAGGGCCGAATTACTCTATCGGCCAGTAAAGCAGTGATTTTAATTTTCTAGATGTTATAACTTCTAAATAGCTTCATAAATTGAAATTATATCAACTCATATTTATTTTGATTGTTTTATTTTTATAATGTTGGTTATAAAAACTTTTTTTTTTTTGCTAGTGTTGTAATTTGTACTAATTGTGTTTGCAATAAATAGTAAAATAGTGGTATTTCTTAAAGAATACTTTTATTGACAAACAAAAGATAGTTTATTTAAAGAGTTTGTAATAAGTTTACTTCAAGCTATGTAAATATCACTAAAAAAATATTCCAGGCTGGTGCAGGTGAGTTAGAGGGTGGATCTATCCCCATAATTTCATAATCCAGTCCTGGTCATGTGTCATTTTTGTGTACTCTGGTCTATTTTGGGGAGAGAATCTCGGGAGTTTTCTTTATTCTTGTCTCATATCATAAAAGAAGGCATGTGTTTGACACAGCTGTAGACACACCAAAATAAAATGTCTGGTGACCAAAAACATCAGATATTATTATACTCCCACCAACACTTATTACCATATGGTGGGAGGAGGTCTTTACTGTTACGCCTGATATGCGAATTGTTACTTTTGTTGGCTGTAAGATTATATCTGGGAAATGTTTTGACAGAAAATGTGACCCAAAAATCCAGAGGTGCATTGGAATAGTGAAAGATGCCTTCCAAAAGCTAAACAAAGTATTAAAAAGCAGGAAAATTTCATAAGAAACAAAGAAAAGATTGCTAAACTTCTATGTAATATCAATCCTCCTATATGGCAATGAATGCTTGACAATTTCCTCAGGAAAATAGAAACAAAAATGAAGCTTATACTTAGAATTAAAAAAAGACAGATGAAATTTCTGGGACATGTAATAGAGAAAGAGGGGTTGGAGAATTTCATACTCACAAGGACATGTTGAAGGCAATAGGAAGTTGTGGAGAGCTATTATTGCTCACATCCTGAAGGGATGCAGTACATTAAAAAACATCATCATTACACAACCTTGTCTTTACCACTGAATTCTCTGATACAGGTTTGTGGGTCTTATATTAATGACTATTATTAATTCATTTCAACTTTTACTCGGTATTCTATAGTTATATCCAGCTAAAGATTGGTAGTTTAAAAAACTTGAATTCTAGCTATAAAAAAAGTTTTAAACAAGACAAAACTCCAAAATTTGATATAATTTCTTACAGTAAATTGGAGGAGAGTCATTAAACACTCCTCTAATGAAATTTCTTGTAATTATTGGTAAGGATTTGTCTAACTATTGTGAATTCCTGATTCACTAAATGTTTTGATCATTATTAAAAATGATCTACTAAAAAATATTCCTACCCCCATACACATGACATCAAAGAAGAAAAAAACATCTCTGCATTTCAATTAACGTTACATGCAGTCAACAAATATGTTTGAATTTACTCTCTCCTTAATACCAAAAAGATTTTATTAACAGAAACATTATTTTTAATTTACTTATCAGTACAGCAACAGTTAATCTTTAGTTCTATTTCATATTATTATCAAGCATTTGTGTATCTCCCCCACAAAAAAAAAACATTGAAAATTATTTCTACAGTTATATAATTCAAAAGTAATCCTTTACTTTTCATGATTGTTGTATTGGGGTGGGGTGATAATTCTCTAATCTTTTTATTTATTTTGGTTGATTTCCAAATCCAGGCCCTTCTCACTCCTTTTAGAAAAAAAGCCTGTTTGATTGACCATGTCTTCAGGGATGTTGCTGTATTCACCACACTTGGCCAATTGCAGGTTGGTGAGGCCTCCCATAGCTGGAGGTTATGAATTCAGGGTTGTCCTTCTAGACCAGTTGCCACCCAAGGCTATAGGATAATCTGTCCTGGTTTTTGCCCATAGTTGGGAGGGAGAAGAAATGGATTCATACCTTTCCTAAGGGTATTTGTGCTTAAGTGAATGTAACAATCTCAGATTGAGCTGTCAGATTCTTCAATCTGAGCTGATATCTATTACTCCAACTTGGTTGATTTATTTATATTTTTAATTATATTTATATTCTTAAACACTTATTATAATTTTTATTTTCAACATTAAACTTAGAAATCATCAAAATATTTTTTTTTTCAGAAAAGTGGTTTCATGTGCCTAATATAAAATTTGCTTTAGAAAAATTTGGCATTTATGGTTTGATTGAGAGTTTAGACCCTACTGTCATCAAATTGGACATTTGCTTGCATATTTCCCATATAGGCATAAAGCTGGTGGGTAAAGATTTTCATGCTTTTTATATCAAATGTTCTGTTATTTTAGGGATGGAAAGCTAATTGGAATAACTGAGCCTCGTCGTGTTGCTGCTATCAGCATGTCCAACCGAGTGGGAAGTGAAATGAATTTATCTTCAAGGTGATAATGATTTTTTTATATAGTTATATATATATATATATATATATATATATATATATATATAACTTATCTGTATGTTTATTTTTTTCTCTTTATATCTATACAACTTATCTTGCTAGTTATCTGCCTGTAGTTTTAAATTTGCCCATGTCTTCGTTTATTGATTATAACTCCTGTTATTAAAATCCAACCATATAAGTTAACCAGTGTGATCTTTTAAGCAAATACAACCCCCCCACCACACACAACACACACACACACACACAAAAATTTTAAAAAATGAATTCAAAAGTCTAAAAATGAACTTGTAAATATAGTGATAGACTTTTACTCCTGGTCAATAATTTATTTTACAAAAATACATTAAATGATAAATTTGATTTTTATATTCCAGAAGAACATTTTCAGTCTGAATTTTTGGGATGTGGAGTTGTCATTATTAGCATTAATTACAGATAGGCTAATGTCTTCATCTTTTTGTGATCACAGCTATTGTGTCCGCCAGCTTTCTTCAGGTGGCTATCAATCTAGCTAACCTTTGGAAAATTTTGAACTGAACCTTTCAGTCCATCTATGGCAGAGGTCACAAAACTACAGCCCATAGGCTGAATGTCAATTCATCCAGCCCGCTGCCGCACTGTGCCACAGATGAGCTAAAATATAATTATTTATATAGAATTATCAATGGATTGTAGTTAAAATTACTATGTAGAAAAAAATTAAAATAAATGTAAGTAAAAATTTCAAAATTTGGCCAATCTGATTTTTTTCATCTGACAGTAATATAAGTTTTAGGAAAATCATTGAAATAACAAATTCAGCAACTTTTGATATCTGAGCACTTTTTATGTAATGAAGTTTCTAAGAAAAGTGATTACAGGCCAGCTGCAGTAATCATGTTTTAACTTACATTGCTATGTTTAAACTGGTTTGAAGAGTGCCATATATAAATCTAAATAGATAACAAATAAATACATAAATTAATGATTAATTAAAAAAAAAAAAAAACTAAACTATCTTCAAGCATGAGCCCACACATTCACACAAAATCAATATGACCGTACATTAAATGATTCTAAACTCTTACCCAACTAAAATAAATTAATGAATAATAAAAGATAAAATTACTAAAAAAAAAAAAATACAGACATTTTAAAAACATGAAACTTTGACAAATTCAAAACTGTGAATTACTATTGATACTTAAGACTCTCCAAGAAAAAAAAAAAACTAACAACTTTCCTATTTGATTTTGAGAAGGTAAATCAAACTTAAACAAAACACCTAACTAAGAAACTCTGAAAAATTAACGAACTAGAACTAGTAGCAGTCAGTCCTTCAGAACATTGACAATTTTATTCTACTTATTACTCAAATGACAAGGGAAAATCTCTACTATCAAAAAGAAAGAACTCTAAATGAAAGGACTACTATCGCATTAAAGACATACAGTGATCTCTCGTTTATCGCGGTAGATTGGTTCCAAGACTGGCCACGATAACTGAGTTTCCGTGAAGTATGGACGCCATATTTACAGTATTTATTTAACGTGTATTTGGACTTTTAACCCCCCCCTCTGTACTGTTAACAACCCACACATTACAGTACTCTATTAATAACAAGGACAACTGTTAAACAATAACACTTTAGATTAAAAAAAAATAAAGATTGTTACTGTATTCAACACGATTGAAGTAGAATTTGAATGATGATGGTGATGAATTTGCTGCACAGTAGAAATGATGATGATGAAGCCGATAACTGTATTTTACGTCTCTTCAGACAGCAGTGCCCTTTCTATTGCTATTTTACACTTGTTTTGTTGTTTCTAGACCAGGAAATAATATTTATTATTAATATTTTAATGGGTTTAATGAAAAATTTTATGTGTTCATATATCGCGATTTTTCCAGAATTTTCCAGAAACTCTGCGATATATTTTCCATATGTATATTTTAAAAATCCGCAAAGTCAGGAAATCCACGATAGTAGAACTGCGAATTAGCAAGGGATTACTGTAATCCTATTCTCTTCAAACAGTGAAAAAAGCTTCTTGGTAAAATTATAAGCCATCTTGCTACCATCCTATAATAAATACTTAGAGTGTACCAACTACTTCTTCTCAACCTGAGTAAGTAATAATTTTTTCAACCTTGACTCTTTCTATCTATCATCTTTCAAACACAAATCACACCACTTTGAGTAACAACAAACCTTGTTTGAACATTATTTTATGTAAACAATGGAACTTTATTTCTATATATGACAATACTCTGACTCTAAAGAATATTGAACAATTTTTCCTGAGCAAAACTCAAACTGTAAAATATTGAAAAAATTCTGATTTTGTTTGTATCAAATTTAACCTTGTGTTTCCTCTTGATACAGAATGAGGAGAAAAGTACTTCTTTGTGGAAACAAGCAACCAGAAAGCTAGTTGCTTGATATGTAATGGAAGTGTTGCTGTTTTGTACAATATTCAGCGTCACTATGAAATGAAACATCTGTCAACATATTCAAAGTTTTCTGGAAAGTTGCATTTTGAGAAATTTGAGTTCATTAAACATAGGTTGAAATCTCAAATGTATCTCTTCATGAGAATGTTTGCTGAAAATGAATCTGTCACTTGTACAAGTTAAAAAATAGTGCAAAAGATGTTAGAGCAAGAAAAACCATTTACTGATGGCAACTTCATCAATAAATGGAAGATGCAAGCAGCAAATGATTTGTGTCCTGTGAAAACCAATTTCTTTGGCAGTATCAGCCTTTCAGCAAGTTTAGTTGTGCAGAGAACAGAAGAACTTGGAAAGAACATCATGCTACAGATATGTAAGAAAGCTAAGAACTTCTTGTGGTATTCTATTGATCTCTGGAGTGCAACTTCTCATGTGCATTAATGGAATTAATTTGGACTTTCAAATCACAGAAGAGTGGGAACCTGTTTGAAGCATGCATGGAAAAAAACCTGGAGAAGACGTTTTCCTGAAAGTGTAGAAAACTTTGCAAGGTTATAACCTTTAGTGCAATCAACTTCAATGTGTTACAGTTGATAGAGGAAAAAACATGCCTAGAGTGAGGAAGGGTCTGATGCAGCAGATCAAAACTAAGTTGAAAGATTATCAACTCCCGGGCCCTCTGTTTATACACTATATCAGCAAGCACTATGTGGAGAAAGATTTAGATATTTCCTGCATACTGATACCAGTCATTTCTGTGGTGTACTTCATTGTTCATGCATCACCGCCAGTTCCAGGATTATTTTTGAAGAAATTGTTTCTGAATTCTGTGACTTGACTTATCCCACAGCAGTGAGGTGGCTCAACTGCAATAAAGTCCTGTTTCATTTTTATAAGCGCCAAAGAGAAATAGATATTTTTCTCACAAGATAGAGCTGATCTACTTCTGTCAGATGCTACCTGACTGACAAAATTGTCATTTTTGGTTGACTTAATGTCCCACATGAATGAATTGAACTTGAAATTTCAGGGAAAGTATAACCTTATCTGTGATCTCTACAGCATCATCAAGGGATTTCTGAGAAAACTATTATTGTTTGAAGCACAACTGAAAGGAAAAAATTCCTCTCATTTTCAGTGTTTCAAAGAGTTTTGCACTGGATTCACAGATGTCAACATCAAGTTTCCAAAGATTATTCATGACTTAAATAAGTATTTTTTGGAGCGATTTTCAGATCTTGAGAGAACTGAGTGACATTCTTCTGTTCCAAAATCCATTTGATTGTAACCTTGATGACATGCCAGTTGGAATTCATTGATTTGCAATAAGTGACTTGTTGAAAGAGAAGCACAGAGAAAGAAAACTTCTTGAATTTTATTGCTGCTTACCTAATGATGAGTTTTTAAAGTTGAAGAAATTTACCTCTGGTATGGCATCAGTGTTTGGAACAACTTATGTCTGTGAGCAAACATTTTCAAAAAATGAAGTATATAAAGTTAATACATTGAACTAGGTTGACTGATGAACATTTGTAAGCAATTCTCTTGGTGGGATGCAGCAATTCCAAAGCAAATATTTATTATATCTTAAAAGGTAAACCCCATTTTCACAAATCTCACTAACCTTTTCTACTGCTTAGTTTATGAGATTCGGATATGTGTGCACAGTGTGATATAATTATTTTATTGTTAATGTCGCCTTCTTTGATAACTTTTTGGTAAATAAATGCTTGTTGTTTTTATTTTTTGTGTATTCAGTGTATTGTATTGAACAAAATGGTTATCTAGCCCGCACTCAGTAATCTCTGTTATCTGTCCCTCTGTGAAAAAATGTTGGTGACCCCTGACCTATAGGGATAGATGATTTCCATTCTATTGACCATGACAATTGATATCCATGCTTGGTCAATTATTCGTTTATTGTCAATCCTGTTTTCACTGAGTCTATCTGTACTACCCAACCCATGGATTGAACTCACAATTATTATTCACCTAATTCACTAACCAATGCTTTAATCCTCTATCTCATTTGTTTAAACTAGAGTTGTACTAATGTGTACTAATTTTATTTTGTTTCTAAACAAATCAAAATGGTGGGTTATGTGTACTAAAATAAAATTAATGATTTCTTTTCCTCTTTCTACCAGTGTGGTGTCCTATCAAATTAGGTATGAAGGTAATACATCATCTGAGACAAAGATTAAGTTTATGACAGATGGTGTCCTTTTCAAAGAAGTTCAACAGGTAAGAGAATTTTATTTTCATTGTGTAATGTACACACTTTCATTACTTTGAAAACTTTTAATTAATGTGCATTTATATACCTCATTATAAAAATGAATATATTTATCCAATATTTAAAATTTGTCAATACATTACTTTATCATTAATTTCAAATTAATCTTTGCATATATATATATATATATATATATTATTAAACTACTAGTAATACTCAGTTGGAAAAAACCTTGGATAGCACAACTTGTAAGTCTATCAAAACAAATTGGTACCTGAGGAAAAAAATTGTAAAAAAAAAAGAAAGAACTAGAAACATCTGAAGAAGGCAAAATAAATCGTTCAGTGACTTAAGTTTTTAGTCCAAAGAAAAAAAAACAAGTGAGTAATAAAACTAAAACGTAAAGTACTCAATACGCTAAGTAGAGCAGGGATAAATGAAATAAATCCTAAAGCGCCAGGAAAAACCTACCTAGGTTTCACCTAAGCATCTTCAAGGTAAGCTGGTTAAAGAGGAAATGATATAAACAGTATTTATTGATAAAACCACTAAAAACTAATTAGCATTAACCTTGTGACAGAAGAAGATAGAAAGAGGAGAAAAAAAAACAAAGCCTCTATTCCAATAACCAGAAATTCCTATGCCTACACCTGTTCCTGGCTCTTTAGGATTTATTCCATTTATTTTTATATATATATATATATATATATATATAAAACAGTAAAAAAAAATAATTATAAATGTTTATGGTAAATCCTGTAGTAAGTTTAACATTAAAACTATTCATTATATCTTTTGTCCTATAAGACTTGTATATTTAATTGTGTGTTTTAAGTTGTGTGATAAAATGAAATTAAAAAAAAGGACTGACTTTAATGCAAGAAATGAATGAACTAAACTAATCTTTGTTTTAGCTTGTGCTTCTTGCTTGCTTAAAATAACATTTTTTTACTACAACTAATAATAATAGTGTTAACAATTTTAAATTCCCATATTATTAACTTTAGCTTTGTTTTGTCATCTTATTTTTGATGGTTTTATTGCAATCCAGATTGTCTTATATTCTATAATAAAGGAGACATATTCAAGCCTCATTTAGTGGTCACTTCATTTCCAATCTGTGCTGCATGCTTAATGGTCATAGAATATAATTTGTGTATTTTGACAAAAAACTGCAAAAATAAGGTGGTAGATAAACTAATAATAATGAAAATGTTTTATCTAAAAATTTGAATAGGTTATTTTTAATATTATTAAGCAAAGAATTATATGGATTTTTCATTATATTAGGGAGGAGGTTTTTGTGTTCAATATTGTTGCTTTTTAGCAGCTGATATAAAATTTATTAATGAAAAAAACATCAAAACATTAATATGACTGGTGAGAATTATAAGAAATTCAATTTCTTTCTCTTCAGTTGTTTAGCTTACTATTTTTCTTTATGAAAACACTTTTTCTTCAATCAGGTAATGTACATAAATATTTAATTACCATCAAGATTATTATACACTTATTCAAACTGGTATCCTAATCTTGATTGTTATTGTCACTATGTTTTGGATGTCGCACCCTTCAGAATTCATCAGATGCCTTCCATATTTGATAACATTTGCAGAATTTCAAATTGAGCCCTTTATTCAATCTACAATGAATAAAACTGTGCCCATACTAAACTATAAATCTCTCAGTAGGCCTAGAATAGAATTTTTAAAGGAATTTTTTTATTTGGTAAAAAAAACCCTATGAAAAAATAATTCAAACAAATGTCTGAGGTAACATTTAATTTATATGGGCACGCAACAAAGACAGACGACATGGGCCGAATTTAAGAGCCAATGATAAATTTATTGTTAACATACAAAATGATAAATGAATTACACAAATTAAGTGTATTGTGAGCAAAATAATGGCCAATAACATGTATGTAAAAATAATCAATGCAAATGAAATATGCCCTTTTACAATAAAAATTATACTGCTTCATAAGGTTCTCAGAAAAGAAAATTACATATAAAATGTAGAAAAAGAGAAAATACTTCTCTGAATAGTTTTCAAAGAATTGGTACATTTTTCGGAGCAAAGTTCATGATAACAGTGAAGAATAGAACAATCACACCAGCCAAAGACTTTTCTTTGATCTGGGAGTGATTTTGATGTTCCTTTCGATTCTTGTCTGGTGGTTTTCAAATTTCTTCTACATTGTTTTTCTTTCTGGACTGGGTTCCAGCAGCAGATGTTCAGCGACTCCTTAAATTAACTCCTGGGCTCCCCTTTTATTACCTATAAGTAGGCTCCAAATTCACTTCTCAGAATTTGGAGGGAAACCTTTTGATTGGTTCTGGAGGAAAAACAAATGCAGCTGTTTTCGCACAAATCGAAATGTACCAAAAATTAAGCAAGAACCCAACAGACAATACATGCTTAATTACCATCAAGATTATTATACACTTATTCAAACTGGCATCCTAATCTTGATTGTTATTGTCACTATGTTTTGGATGTCGCACCCTTCAGAATTCATCAGATGCCTTCCATATCAGCTTAAATTTCTTATACTTTTCATGGGACATTAACTCCAAAATTCCATTATTTCATTGTTTCACATGGACATAAACATTAGTAAAGTATATACTGTTTATTTGGTGGCTATGGTTCAGGAAGTGAAATCCATATACTCTTGTTTAGTGGAACAAATAAAAGTGGCATCATAAGGTTGAATTAAAAAGAAGAATGAACTAATATCAGATTATTCAGAATGAAAACTGTCTGTTCCTATGAAATGAATAAAGAGTTTGAAAATTCTCAGAATGGTACCGAATACAAGAGGCACCTGAAGGAGACAATGGCCAAAACAGTGTGATGATGCCAATCAAAATGAGGACAACCAATTGAAATAAATTCAGATACCATCAACATATTTTTCCTACTATTACATTAACTATATTAGGATGATAAAATATATAAATTTGTTTTGATGATTTTTTTTTTTTTTTTTTTAAATCATTTCACTCCAATCAAGGTGAGAATGCGACTAGTATGCAGGGGGTTACAGAGAGTGAAAGTGAAAGAAAAGACTGGGTATACAAGGGACTGAGGAAAGGATAAAAGCTGAATGGGGTTCAAGAAGATAAAAGATGGCGATTGATGTTGCATTTAAAATTTTGAAGATTGTAGTTATCAGGGAAGCAAGGAAATTGAAGGGAGTTCCACGGGCAAGAAAAAAAACTGTGGAAGTGACGGTTACATTTAACTAGTTTGACAGTAAAAAGATGGGATCTAGATGCCAATCTAGTAGCATGCTTAGACTTGCATAGTTTAGACAGCGAGGGTGGGGGGGAGCTTGTCAGACCAGTTGCCATAAAAATATTTTGTAGAGAAGACGGAGGAAAGCTACGTCATATCAGTGAGAAAGTGACTGAAGTTGAGATACCAAGTCAGGATCAATTACATTGCAGATCCTTTGGATATTGTCAAGAACCATGAGTAGCAGGAGCACCAGACCAGATATGGCAAGAGTATTCAATGCATGGACGAATGATATTTTTGTAAATGTGCAAGCTGGACTCTGATGAGGAAAACCTTATTAAGGAAAAAATATTTTGCATATTTAATCTTTATCCATTCAATAAATTGTTTTCTTTTTGGAATTTTCTAGGATTTCTTGTTAACAAAATACAGTGTTATTATATTGGATGAGGCTCATGAACGCACTGTGTACACTGACATTCTCATAGGATTGTTGTCAAGAATCGTTCCAATCAGAGAGAAGGTAAGAAAAGATGTTTTCACATTCTATCATTATTTAGAAACTTTGAATATTGACTTAAAAGCTTTCAATGAATAAACTTTAATGTTGGTTTTTACATTCAAAATGAATTAACACTTAGCAAATGTTTTAGAAGATTTATTTTCTTTTGTTTACAAATACAAATATGTATCCTTTTGTAGCTCCAGGGTACATTGGAACAGATAGAAAGTAAGCCCCCTCTTTCTTTGTAATAGGGAGTCATCCTGATTAAGTTTTTTATCAGTAGAGTGAACCAGCCTTTCCCGCTTTCTGGTAAGTGTAGAACTGGCCTTAGAGCCCTATTTTCCCTGTGCTTGCAGCGTCTGAGCCTGAGAATTACTTTCTATCCCACTAGACCCTTCAAAACAGAAAAGCTGGGATAAAATAAAATACAGGGCCAATTTTACTAATTTGAGGCTCTCTCTCTCTCTCTCTCTCTCTCTCTGGATCAGCACCACTTCGCCTGTCTACTATCTGTTCACAACCTAGTAGTAGCGCCTGGCTCAACACAGTGCCCTCTTCATCTACCGGTACCCTTCTAAATGATGAATTTCACTCTGGTCAGTCATGATCCATCTTGGGCTCAAATTATGTGAGCATCACGGATGCAGATGTGGAGCTTCCATTGATGAGTTTGGTTTGCACCCTCTCTCCTGTTGTCATAATGCAAGCCACTTTCCAAGGCATGCAGCAATAAATGACATCATCAGGTGTCTGGATGCAGCTGGGTTCCCTTCCCAAATCGAACCCATAGGCCTCTACCATGATGATGGAAAGTGGCCAGATGGCATTACCATTTTCCCTTTTAAAATGGGGAAGTCGTTGATTTGCCAATACATTTTCAACTGGTAATTTTATCAGGTCTGTAGTTGAGCCAAGGTCTGTCGCTTGGAGTACAGATATAAAAAAAAAATAGTTAAATATTCTCTTGTGGACAGATATTTTTTTTTTTTTTTTTTTTTCCTGTGGCATTGGAGACTTCTTGGGTTATTGACCCTCGTTCAAAGGCATTCCTTTGGAGGATTGGCAGAATGGCATCTTGATTAAGGAATGAGCCTCGGGAAATGGAGTGGTTCTTGCAGCATGTCTCACTGGTGATAGTGCGAGGTAATGCTTTCTCCATCATTGCAGCTGGCAGAGGATAGCAAAAAAAAAACATTTTGTTTATAGATACTTTGTTCAAATAAATATTTATTCATTTTATTAGGCAATATCATTTGCAATACCTTTTAATAAAGAACTTTTTTTTTTAAGTATTTGGTTTCAGAAACAGTTAGCTGATTGACTTGTCCTTAAGAATGTTAATGAGGTGATACTTTTCAGAGGATTTAAGAAATATTTATATTTTATTTAATTTATTAAACTTTGCCTATCACTATAAAAGGTATAATAATAAACTCTTAGAATGTAAGTGCATATTTTCTCTCTTTTTGTGCAATAATTGTAGCTTGTTTGTTCTCGTTTCTGTAGTATTTTTTAATCTACCAACTTGTTCCGTCTTTTCACCTTGGTTTCTATTCAATAAAAAATGTCACACATTGAATTTACAAAGATTTTGTTTTTCTAGGTCTTTTCATATCATTTTTGCCTTGTTATGTTATATTTTTAACTTTTAATACCTACCAAACCCAGTCACTGTTAAAAGAATTGATGGTTTAAGAGTTAGTTTTTAATCTATCTGATGTTGATTTTGATGCATTTGAGGTTTGTAAAAAATTTACTTTAAAACATGACACTATTTTATAGTGAGTGCTCCTTTATGTACAAAATAGTTTCCTTTTTCATTTCATATACATTTATGATGAGATAAAAATAAAACATGAAGTATATTTATGTGAGAGACTTCTAAAGCTTTTATATTAAGTGTAGGGTTTCATAAGATTCAAATGTCTTTTTGTTTTTTATCTCAAAAATGAAAATATTGCCAACATTTTTAACTTTTTCTATTTTAAAGAAAAAAGTAATTATTCCTTTGTTTAAAATTTTGAAACCTCATTTAATTGGAGTGTATCTTTTATTTATTCTCTTGAAACTATTTTTTTTTCTTCCATAGAAAGGAAATCCTCTAAAATTGGTTATCATGTCTGCTACACTTCGATTAGAAGACTTTACTGGTAACCCAAATCTTTTCAAGATTACTCCTCCTATTGTCAAGGTAAGTTAAGTATTATCCTTGTAGTCATATATAAACATTAATATAAAACACAATATTTTTAAGAAATATATATATATATATATATAAATTATAAATTAATTTTATAATGCTCTATTTAATATGTTTATTCAGTGTAATTTGCAATTTATTTATCCATAAAAATATGTTTTAATAAATAAATTGTATCCTAGGAAACGTTCCTTTTGTTTACATTCAAACGTAGAGCAAATATAATGCACAGATTAAAAAAAGTTTATAATCAGTAATTCAAGAGATGAAAAGTTTTTATTAAAAATTCTCTGTTTATCAGTTTTTGGTTGTAAAATACTTGTATTTATAAAATAACAACGTTAAACATAAAAATATGTCTTTTATTAAATAAATTGTCGGATTTATTTATATATATATATAAGAAAAAATATTATATTAAAAAGAAGAGAAGAGAGATGCTTTTTTGGTTGTTTGGATTTATTTAAAAAAATATTTTCTTTGACATAATTTTTACGACATGTTTTCTGCTCTCATGACCGTCTTCAGGTAGAAGTGGAGACTTCCATATATTATTAACAATAATTAATTTTTCCTCATGTTCAATGTTAAATATTCTCGATATGAGACATTTTCTGTTTGTGTGTTGGTAATCTGAATTTCTTTCTTGAATTCACCTCTCTTCTCTTCTTTTTAATATATATATATATATATATGATATGGGTGATTTAACCGAAAAACCAACTTTTTTCGGTTTCATCTTCAAACCACATTGAAATTTTTAACTTTTTCTTTTAAATGCTATCACTACTGAGTGACCATATCCAAAGAAACAGTATTGAAAAAGACTTTCAGATGTTAATAAAATTAAATTTTATCAACATTTATACCGTTATTGTAAGAGAAAAAGATTGAACAAAAATATGTTAAAAACATTTAATTGACTAGTTTTAGGAAATAAATGTGAAATCCATTTGTTTACAAAAGAAATGAAGAAGAAAAAAGGAAATACATGATGTCTGAAATGTATTTGTTTCAGTTTTCAAAAAAAAAAAAACTTTTTATGGTAAGATTAAGTTGACAACAAAATAGTGAGTAAAAATAAAAAAAATAGTTGCCAGTTTCATCTTAAGGTTAAATTTTATGAAGTTGGATTTTTGTAAGGCTTTTTTAGTAAGCCAGTATGTCAATCACGAAATAAAGTTGTTGTAAACAAGAAAAAAAATATTTTTTTTTTTTGTAAATAAATTTGTTTTGTTTTTTTTTTTATCTAGGGAATGCACCTAAATTAGATGTTAAGAATAATTAAAATAGTTCTTAATTTCACTTTTAAAATGTGTATATTTCCAGATATGTGGGTCTCTAGTGTAAAAATTAAAAATAAAATTGTTTGTTTTCTACAAATAAAATGATATTTCTATCTAATGAATACACCTAAAATTAAATATTAAAAAAACAAACTAAGTTTTAATTTCAGGTTTAAAATGTGTATATTTTCAAAACTGCAAGTCATTTTTCTTAAACCCAAAGTAATAATTATTTTTTTTTTATCCACTATAGTTTGGTGAGAGTTCTGCCTATAAAATTCTTCTAAACAAGGAAAATTAATTCATTTTATTTTTATAAATATCTTTATGGTTTTATCTAGTGAATACACTTAAGATTAGATTAAAATGATTAAGGTAGTTTTTAATTTTGGTTTTAAAATGTGTATCTAAAAAGAACAGATGATCCTTGCATATTTGGATATCCACACATTCTAAAAATGAAATTAAATGCTTTTAATTATTTTTGTGTATTTGCTAGATAAACATAAATTTATTTATGTGAAAAAAATAACTCATTGATTTTCCTTGTTTAGCAGAAATTTATTTGCAAAACCCCAATAACAGTTGACTGGCATACCAGAAAAGAATTATGGAGAGCTATACCATTTTCTCTCTCAAATGTGTTGTCCAAAGAGACAAAAATATAGATAGTTTATGCAACAATTTCTTTTGTATTTTACCAATTTGTTAATAAATATGGTAGTTATTTATAGCTGACAATTTATTCAAAAGTTTAATAAATAAACTTTAATTGAAAACAAGTGTTTGTCAATGTCAGACCCTTTTTTTTTGCTTACTTTATAATTTTTTAAGGAATTTGCTTCCATGGGTCAGAGAAGAAATGAACATCTACCTGGTTGTAGTTTAATATGTCTTCTTGATTGTACAATTTCAAGTATATTGATAAAGACTGGTCTAGAAGACAGTCTAAAAAGACATCTTTCTCACATGATGGATAAAAAACAAATCAAAGTCTGATTGTGATGGTATCATCAGTCAGTAAAAAGAGTTTGAGGAGGAAGCTGCTGGAAATATTGCTTTCAAGAATTTCAGCAATTATGAAGACTTTGTGGACACTTTGTTCTACTCATCTTTGTCTAGCAACAAAGAATATCAAAAAGTGTAGAAAGTTGTTTGCAGATTGCTGGTACTCTCTCATGGACAGGTTTCAGTGGAGAGAAGTTTCTCAGTAAATTCCTTATTCTATTATTTCTAGTGACAATATAAAACAGCAGACTATGGTCACACAGTGCATTATCATAGACTATTTGGTCACAGTTGGAGGTGCTGGGAATGTTCCCATGACTAAGGGCCTTCTCTGCAGTGCTTCCAATGCCAAAACAGCATACAACCAATAACTTGAGGCTGAGAAGAAAAAATGGCAGGAAGAAGGAGCTGGACAAAAATAGAAATTGAAGAACTGAAGACCAAAAACACAAGCTTGAAAGTTGCACACAAGATTTGCTCATGTAGCTGATAGCTATGCAGAGAAAGCTGAGCAGACTTCACACTTATCACATAGTCCAATGCCATGCGAAGATCTACAAAGGACAAATCCATAGAGATGTCAAAATTGGAAGAGGAGCTGAATGCTAAACTAGATGAACTGAAAAAAATCTTAACGTCATTGTGTTCTGTGTCATGTGCAATAAAAGCCTTGAATAGTAGGGGTAGCTAAAATGTGTAGTCATTTTGTGAAAATTTCTATTTGTAGTTCTGTTCATTAAAACCATTATCTTCACAGAATTTTCATGACATTCATAAACCATGAGTATTCTAGATAGCTGAAATGTCTAGCAGTAAGAATTAGTGTGTAATTCAAAATTTTCAAGTCTAGTAAAACTCCAAACTGTAGAATGCTATACAAAATGTGTAACATAACTAGGTCTGCATTCAGTTGTTTTAGACTTTAACACTTGATTTCTTCACTGCTTTCAATTGATCCATGTGACATGAATTATTGGAAACCAGCTGTAGCTTTTCTTTGAACAGCTCATCTATCAAACTATTAAAAGATAAATCACGAAGTTTGTTTTTGAAATTGATGACCATTCACTTTGTGTGTGTGCATGTGCATTCAGTATGTTACGATTTCAGTCCTTAAAACTTCTTAACATAGTGGGAACACTGTATTTCATAAAAGATAAATATTAAAAATAAAACTTTCTGACCTTAAACAAAAAAAAAAAACAATGTTTTTTTTTTTTTTTTTTTTTTTCTGTAAAAAAAAAAAAAAAAAAGTTTTCTTTTAAATTATTAATGATCTTTTTACTTGAAAAATTATAGCCATATTTCATTTATGAATAAAATGTAACAACCCACCTTTTTCCTAATATCCCTGAAATCATTTAGTTTGTAATAAGTTCAAAAAATTGATGGTGAGACTATTTATGTAAATCTACTTAAAACAATTCACATTTTTCATTTCTCTAATTTATTTGTAGTTGCTGTTTTTAAATTCAATTTACTTACCATTGCAGGTAGATTCCCGGCAATATCCAGTCACAATTCATTTTAATAAACATACACCTGTAGAAGATTATCTTGGGGAAGTCTATAAAAAGGTACCAGCTTGCTTATATCCAGTAGAGAGAATTTTTTTTTTTTTTTTAAATGTTTTTTTTATCAAACACTTTGTATTGCCTATAATCTAAAATAATAGGACCTGTTTTAGATTAGGTGTTTGGTCATAGCTAAACCAATGTTTTGAATCTTGACTTTCTAGGCAAGCAGGCAGGCCCTCCCAACTTGGAAGATTGGTGGAATATAATCTTCTTGCCTCTAATTTCATCCCTGTTTGGTCTTTCACTTTACTAAATTATATATCCGTAATCTAAAATATATATATTTTTTAATTATTTATAACTTGTTAATTATTTTAGTCCAGTTTATTTTAACTTGAAATACTGGCAATAATTTTTTTTTTTTTTTTTTTTTTTTTTCTTCTTAACCATTTTGTTCCAAGCAACACAATAAAGTTACTAAGAGTGTTAGAGAATATGAGAAAAAATATACTATTAAGGCAAGAGAACAATAAAAGCGCAAGAATGAAGAAAACAGAAAATAACTATTGACATTTCATTTAAATTTTTGAAGATCAAAGACTGGGAAGCAAGAATCTGAGCAAAGTTTTTGAAAGTTTACTTTAGGCCACTTCACTTATACAGGTTCCTTCACTAAACAATTGCTATTAATTCATATGGAAAATATTTCTGAGTATTCCTAGACCACAAAAATAACCTATGTCTGTCTGCCTCAATGTCAACAGTTGAGGTTCATGGAAATGGTAATCTTAGAAGTGGCTGTTTATTTCCAATTCATCCTACTTATTCTATGTTTTATCCCTGAGCTGTATCTACAGATACCTTCTAGTCCTATTGTATGAATTTTTTCAAATTGTATAATTCCAGTGCAAATGACCAATTCAAAAGATGAAGAATATTTTTTATATTGGAGAGAGATATATATTTATGTGATTGGTTGTAGTGGAGTTTGTGACATTTCCTTTTATACTACACTATCTAGCAGGCATTAGTAATCCCCTGGCAAACAAAGTAGAATAATCCCACAATATCCATTTTAGATATACTCCCTATTTATAGGATGAAATTACATGCCTTGTCATAGTTTATTTCCAGTTTCCATCTCTTACTTTAACAAATGTAACAGCATAGGGCATTGTGAGTGATAAAAAAAAAAAAAAATCAATTGGATGAAAAATCTTTATGATGGTCTTTAAATTTCTCTTTCTTTCTTTTTTAATCAGAGCATTAGTTTTTTTGTAGGAGTTCTCTTCCTAAAGTGATTAAATTATTATAGAACAAACAGTATTAGCAGTAAAATGATTGGTTTCTTCAATCTTCTTTTCCACATTAAATCCATTTTATTTAATACAAACTGTATCCAAAAGACAGTGAACAATTTATTTAAAAATTTGAAATTAAAAAAACAATTTTTACAGATTTTGTTAAAGGTGCTATACTCCAAATTTGGTGTTACTCTGTAAACTCCAAAATTCATTTTGCTTTTTTCCTTATTTCAGACTTGCAAGATTCATACGCAGCTTCCTGAAGGAGGGATACTAATTTTTGTAACTAGCCAACAAGAAGTCCATACATTATGTAATCGTCTTCGACAGAGATTTCCTTTTCATTCGAACTTAACAGGTGAGGAAAAAACAAAATATATAAATACTATTACAAATTTCATAATTTTCATAATTTATAAAATTTTATATTTGACCCTTTTTAAATTCAGAAAATAAATATAATCATAAACTAATTAAAATTAGCAGAAATATTAAGTTTTACATCTAAAACATTTATGTGATATTGTTAAAAACTTTCAAATTTTCAGAAATATTGTTCTGCCCTGTCAGTTGGGGTCTAGAATACATTTACTACATCCACTTGCAGAGGGTAACCCTCAACAGAATCAGGGGTGGAGGTTACTCATTTGCTGAACTTTTGTCTACTTTTTTGGCTTTCATGCAAAACAGACTTATGTCTACATTATCAAAACAACAGAATTCAATGAAAAAAGTTGATATGCCATAGAACAAACTAAACCATAACAATATTACAAAATACAATAAATTTAGATTAATTTGATCATTGGTTAATTTATTTGGACCAAATCTTGAAAAACTAAAACAAATCAAATATATTTGTAATATAAAATTAATTTAAAAGGACCAGAACTTTTTTGGCTAGTCGTTATTTCAGCACTGCTTGAAGAACCACAGTCAAGTAATATCTGCTGTGATCCTGTTGTAAGCACCCTTTTAATTTATAGGTACAACTATATATCCTACTAGCAGTAGAGCCCGGCGTTGCCCGGGGATGTAACAGTAAGAGATCAAGTATCAACCATCATAAAGACTGAAAAATAAAATTGACAAAGATTATTGTTTAAGGTTGACGGACACGCATGTCTTAATTAGTTTTTTTTTTTTTTTACGAATTGGTCAAACTCAAACAAAAACATTGTTTTCAATCGTTATGAGTCTACCAATTGAATAGAATTTTATTATAAACAATTGTCTTGTAAATGGAATTTTTAAAGCATTCTGAATGTAAAAATAAAGAAAAAATGTGTGCAAGACAATAAGAAACACTACCTGCCAAAAAAAAGTGAAGTTTTGTTGAAATCAGTTGAAAAATGTAGGAAATCCGATCCCATATATAAATGAACACACACACAATCTGGGTTTTATAATAAGTATACCTCGATATGAGTTGTCCCTCTTTCATTCTCATGACAGCGATTCCTCTTAATCGTGTTTTCAAATTGATTTTGTGCAAAAACAATTGTTTTTCCAATTTTTGGTGCTGTCAGAACCACCACAAGGTAATTTTACGTAGTCCTGTGAAGTTTTGTTGAAATTGGTTGAAAAATGTAGGAAATATGATCCAATATATAAACATACAGACACACACACACACACACACACAACCTGGGTTTTATAATAATTATGATTTAGCATATGTAAAATTACAAATGACTGTGTGAGTAGTGTAACAGTTATTGGTGTGGAAAGTAGAATTGTTGAGTTCCAGTTTCATCTTTGTCTGTTGCATTCACTTGGCACTAATGCTCTTGTGAAAGGCATGAACTTTCTAGCCTTGGATGGCAGCCAGTCTAGGAAAAGAACAATTTTAAATTCAAATCTGGAGAAGATAATAGGAAAATCACTCCATTTTAATCTGCTCATTTTGTGTAAAAGATTAAATTTCTTGTCATTTTTGTTTAATAGTAAATTTTTTTTCAAACTGATTAAACAGTAAAACATATCTTCTTTCCAATTTTTTTCTTTTATTTACTTCAGGAGATATATATATATATATATATATATATATATTTTATATTTTATATTACCAGGACAGCTACCTAATTGTGCCAGATTGCTCTATTCTCACTGTGTCTCAGTATGTTATTAAGTGCTGAAAAGTTCTTGGCTTGATCTGAGCAAATAACCAAATCAACTTTTGTCCTTTTAAGACTTCTTGGTTAAGCTGAGAACTTAGCAGCATCCATTGTATGTTTAGAAAATGTATTGTAAGCAAAATGATGCTCATACTACAAGCTGTATTGATATAAAATTTAATTTTCACTGTTAAATTCAAATTTTGATGTTATTAGTCAATTACTGTTTTTTAAATTATCAGAAATCCTAATGATGGTGTGAAAAAATTAAGTATTTTTTGTGTTATTATCCAGATACTGCTACTGCTTCATCTCAGACAAAGCATTCTAAAAAATCATCACGTAAAAGAAAACAAGAAAAAGAGAAAGTTCAACTGCCAGACATAAAGCTTGATAAGTAAGTATTTTTGTCAGTATTTTGTTATTCATATGAAATTAAAATATTAATATTATCTTTAATTATATTTTTTTTAGTAGTATTAATTTTTGTCTAGTATTTATTTTAATTTTATTTTGCAACTACTCAGCCTGTTATTCTACAATTGTTAGTAAACTGTGGGTAAAGAAGTTTTTGGTAATAATCAAGTTTTTATCCAGAAGCCTGTCTTTCCATGGCAGCTGCTCTTACCATTTGAATTACAAGAGCCCTACATATGACACAAGATCAAAGTTAACCCCATAGATTGGCTCTTTATTTACCTCTATTCATTACCTTTATTTAAGGATGTACTGGTAGTGTAATGGTTATTGGTACAGAAAGTGGAATTGAGTGTTAACCAGTCTAGGAAAAGAACTAATTCCAAATAGTGGAGAGGGCAACAGGAAATTCCATTATCTTACCGATGGCATTTAAAAGATAAAGGAATCTGGAGAACATTGATCACTTACATCCTGAAGGGACATAGCATTTTAAAAAAGGGATATTAATAGCAATAATATATTTTCCTAAGGCAAAAAGAATTAAGTTTGAGTTTTGTGAGGAGTTTATTTATTATTTTCAACAAGTGCTTTTTACTGAAGGTAGTTTGAGTAGTTGCGATAAAAAGTAACTAAAATTAAGTCAAAAATGAATTGATAATGCTTCATCTCTTAAAAATTCATGATATATTTTTAATTCTGAAAATGTACTGAAATTATTTAAGTCTGAATACTGAATGATAAAAGTTAAAAGATTTTTCTATAAATTTATGAGGTTGTTAAATTTAAATTTTGTGGTTGCTGGTGTCAGAGACCCAGAATGTTTAATTTTCTGTTATATTTAATTTTTCACAATTTAATACTTATGCATATGTTAAGACTTTTCTTTTTCCATTGTTTGCACCCAAAAATTACTAATTTGCATGTAACATGCCAAAAAAGTAATGATGTCTTACATTGTCTTATATTCTGTAAAATATCGTCAACAAAAAAAAATGTCTTGCATATCACAAAATCAAGTGATTCTATTTTCTATAATTTATGTCAGAATTTTTAAAACGAGGAATTATCATTCATATATTCTTTTCTATTTTGGACCAGCATGTTCATCATGGTTGTTATATTCCCAACATTTCAGCTGTTGTATCCTCTGGCCTTTTCATGTGTCTTACTAGGTATGAAAGACACCTGAAGAGGCTAGAGAGTACAGAAGCTGAAATGTTCTTTGCCATACTCAGTTAGAAACCTGAAAAAGATCAAAATGTGCACATAACAATCAAAATGATCCTACTGGTCTCAATAAAAAGGTATAGAATATGTTTTCTATATTTATCAGTTTGGATATATAATTTACATATATTTTAATAACACCTGAATATTTAAGTCAAAATTAGAGATTCAAATACTGTACATCATAATGGTTTTCAATAATGCATTGTATTAAGAATCTGATTTATTCCCTGCAAACAGCAAGGTTATTATGTCCAGATTTAATTATATTTTTTTTTACCTATCTGAATTTCCACATGTAAATAATGTGCCTGTTTCATACTTTTCTTAATTTTCTTTAGTTATTCCATTTATCCTGAAAACAAAAACATTGAGTTGGCTGATGATGACGACGATGTTGATCTTTCTGATGGCTTTGAAGATAAAGATGACATTGAACTGGAGGTTAGTACAAATGCCATATCATGATGTCTTTCTACTTACACTATCCAAGTATATTGTATGTCCTGGGTATGACATTAAACTGCATCCAACAGCAAGGCCTCTGATCAGGAGGTTTTGAGGAGCGTGGAACCACCTCTTAATTGAGGTCCACCCTGACCCAGGTTGGTAGCACCTGTTAGGGTTCCAGCTATGGGCAAATAGTGAACTCCCAGTTTTTTCCAGACCTTACCCACATCCTGGGTATGGCGATAAACTACATCCGCGTCCTGGGTATGACAATAAACTACGTCCAACAGCAAGACCTCTGATAATGTTTTTGAAGAAATAATGTTGCCAGCTATACGTTTAATAGTGCTATATATTTTATATATATATATATATATATATATATATATATATATATAATAAACTAAATTTGGCATTAAATAACCTACAGTGGTTGATATGCCATAAAACTCAACCAACCAACCAAGTATATTGTCATTTGTGTTTGATATGATGAAACAGAAGGCATTTGCCAATAAATACTACTGTGTGTGCCAAAGGAAACATGGTGATATCAAAGAATAATGAATATAGCATACAATTTTACATACAGAACTTTTTATCTATATACAAAATCAAGTATGCTATCACTCACAGGAGACGAGAAAAATTTGTTTTTAAAGCTTTTAATCAAAAGAATCATCTTTTCAAAACTTCTACTCTTCAACTCTTGATTTCCTGACATCATTACCAATTCTGACTGTTGCTTTTTTGACATGTCAAACTTTGATTGGTCTAACTTTGGAGGTTCAGTACCACAATTAACGAAATGGAAAGTAATTAATTTTCCAAAATGGGAAGTAATCAGTTTTCATAGCCAGACAACAAAGGGGTGCCTTGTCAGAAATTGGGAATTACCAAGAACCCCAGGCTGTGTCTAGCCCCATACCAGTTTTTAGTCGATGTCCATATAAGCGAGTGCTCTCAGGCAATTCGCCAGTAGTAGTTCCAGTCGAGTTTCAGTTCAAATCAGTTCCAGTCCAGTCCAGTCCAGTTCAGTTCACTTCACTAGCAGGAACCAGAGAGTTGCCTCGCAGAAGATGACCAAGAGATTCCACGACTTCCACCTCTGACCTTGCTTTTCTACGAAACCGCAAGTTATACTGATGAACAAAGCTAAACCAGCACCTAAAAACTGAACCGGTTCACTTAGAAGACCAGAACTTGCCTAGAAGTATAAAAGTGTCACTCTCAGAAGAAATTGGTTGGGAAAAACGCATACTCCTGTATAGAACAGACTGATAAAAGTTGATTAACTTTCTTACAACATACCCAAACCTTTTTCTGGTTTCTATTTATTTCTTTTTTTATGCTTGTGCAATATCACTTCTAGTTTAGACTCATCTTACACTACTTGAGATCAGAGTAGTTACTTCAGTAACCAGTTATTGGAAGTGAGCTGAGAATGACGGAGTGGTGTCGAAATGGTTGCATCTGGTGTGAAGCTGTTAGAATCGACCAACCATCCCATTTGGTACCCTGACCAAAGGATCCCGCCGGGTAGCGACAACTGCCAATCGACCAAGTCACATGTTGGTGGCAGTGACTAAAAGTCAACCCCAAAGCCCTGGTAGAAGTATTACAGCTTCACACTGTGACTAGGAGTTGACCCCAGGCCGACAATACAGTGTCACAATTGGCTTATTTTACTTTCATAACTTAAGATTAGTGCAAATTCAGACCAAATTATGCAGTTTTTACAAATTGTAATTACCAATATTTTTAATTTAACATTCAGTACATTTAAGTCTGGATGTGTCAATAGTGTGTTGGTTATTGGTGCAGAAATTTGTGAGTCAATTTCAAATTCTGGTCATTTCTTTTTTAAGGCACTTTGTGCTAATGTTCTTGGAAAATGGGCATGAATCCGTATTCTTCCAGTTATTAATTAAATAGCAGTAAAGACTGAACTGTCTTGCCTTGTTTGGCAACCAGCTTAGAAGGAAAACTGAATTCAAACACTCATAGATAATAAGGCACACTGAGCACTTTAATGTTGATGTGGGCAACTAATCTTGGAGAAAGAGAACTCTGAAATCAAAATCAGCCTGAAGACGGATGGGCTCAATCATGCTATCATGCCTTAAATACACTGCTATTGCTATGGCTGCAATACATGTGGTAGTTGTAGCACTCCTACAATATTAATGGGTTATAGGACTTGTGATGTGACATGACATTTAACTATATAACAAATTATCAAATATATAGAAACAGCTGACATTTGATGTTATTAATGATTGCTTATAACTTAATTTTCTTACTAATTCTTTTATTATATTATTATTTTTTTAAAATATAATTAAGTGATATGAGATTACTTTAGACCTTGTCTTGCTATTAAGGAATTCAAATAAAATGTTTGAAATGTTACATTCATTCCAGAAACAATTTGGAAATGGACCAATGGAGCCTTTATATGTTTTGCCATTGTATTCTCTTCTTCCTGGTGATAAACAAGCTAAGGTAAGCTGAATAATTTAATGTTTTGATGAGTTATTATGGAAAAGATACATACTATAGTTGTGGTTACTTCATATTTGAAGTAGTAATAAACTATAAAGAGAATTTAGTTGTAAAGAAATGATTTCTTTGTTTTGTTAACATAAAATATATCAAAGCAAAATAATTTGTTGTTTGTATGTTCATCTTTCCATTTTTTTTTCTTTTGAAAAGAGGACATAATTCACTTTTATTAAAGCTTCATCAGTGAATAAAAGTGAAACATGTTAGATTGATAAACGTTTCCTATTTGTTATTTATTCTGATCCATATTGGATCCCAAATCATTTTACCAATACAAAACCTAAGTAACATTATACATTGTATAACATTTTTAATGTGTATTTGATTAAAGGTGAGAGAATGTTTTTATTTAACCTTTCCTGTTTTGATACAAATTAATGTATGCTAGTGATTAGCATAAGAATTGTTCAAAAGTTTTGTACACTTTTAGTGACTATCATGATTCAAGACTTTAATGATTAGGAAGAAAAATGATGATTATAGATCTTAGTTGTTATTCAACTTCAGTTTTTAAATTTCAGCATTTATGGGATTTATACACAAGGTAAAGTGCAAAAGAGATTTTTCTTTGGGCAAAATGTTATGAGTTGTTAAATACATTCAAAATTCTAGCACAGTAACTGAAGATCTTATTCAGCTCTGGATGTGCAGGCAGTGTTGCAGTTATTGGCAAGCTGAGTTCAAATACCAAACTTTTGTACAAATGTCCTTAGAAAAGACATGACTATCTGTGGAGAGCCATGATCACTTACGTTCTGAAGGAACATAGTATTTCTTTTTAAATTCAGCTTTGGGTTCTTTATGTTAATAACTAGTTTAACTGTACCATCAAAAATGACAGCAATTTATAAGTAATTTTGAATTTGCATTGATTATATTTACTGTTATATTTTCAAAGTGTTTATGGATTAAATGTTGCAAAACATGAAAATAAAAAAAAATTAAAAAAAACCCTTACCTGCCTATATATTACACCAATGGTGTCCACAAAGTGTCTTTCCTGATAACAAGATGGCTGAAAAAAAGATATCTGATGCTGTGTCATAGATGAGATGAATGGATTAGAAAAAATGTTTCCTGTTGGCTGGCATGCTGATCAGTTATTACAAATTGGTACTATCATTGTTTACAGTTATTCTTGGTGGAAGATACAAAGGAAGTCAAAGATAGCTTGCTGGGATGCATGCTGTCACATGATCATTGATGGCAGTCACAGCTGGGTGAGATGGTATGATGTTGAAAGACCAGAAACTATCAATGAACCCAGTATTAACATCACTGATGACACAGCCAGCACATTTTTTGTGATGTATATTGAGATTCTAGGACTTTTATCTATAGTTAAGTATTGCTTCATGTCAAAATATATTCTCATTTTTTTCAAATCATTATAAGTAAAAGGGCTAACATTTTCCACTGATATGAAGTGGAAAGGTTATATTGAATCAATTGCTAGGTCTGCTACTAGGAAGGTTGGTTCACTGTGTCACACTAGACAATTTTTCTCAACAGAATCTATCTTGAACATTTATAAGTCTTATCATTCTTCCATGAATTGAATATTGCTGCCACATCTGATGCCTTTATGTATTTAGAGATTCTTGATAAAATCCAAAGAAGAATCTGCAATGTTATTGACTTGGCATCTTGGCTTCAGTCACTTTCTCACTGCCATAACGTAGATTCTCTGTAACTTTTCTATAAATATTTTCATGGTAATTGTCCTGATGAACTTTCCTCTTTGGTACCTAGACTTTGTGAATTTAAACACAGTACTAGATTGGTGGCAAGGTCGCATCATTTTACTGTTTTAATGGCTAGATGTAACTGCGATTTCTATGCTAACAGTTTTTTCTCTCGCACTTCTCATTTGTGGAACACTCTTCTGGCTTCCCAGTCAACTTTGATCTTTAAAAATTTAAATGCAATGTCAATCATTATCTTATGTCTTAATTCCTGTTATTTTATTGTTCTCTCTCCTTAATAAATTTTTTTTTTATATTCTCTCTTGTGTTTTAGTAGCTTTTATTGTCTTGCTTGGGGTGAAATGAGTGAAAAAAAAAAAAAAGTAAAAATACCTAGAGATAGGTAGCACTAACCAAAAGAAATAAAAAGCAATGAATCAGCTTGCTGATCTTTCCTATTTACTAATGAGATGTTCTGTTGTAGCAATGGAGAAAACAAAGTCTTATCTTGATGAAGAAATGATGTTCTCTATGCTATTTATTGAAAAAGAAAATCAGAATCAAGATTGGGTTGATTTCAATAGGCCTTGAAATATTGTAATTGTTTGCACTTTCCTACCAGTCTTAAGCAAATCACAACCTTTCTTATGCTAATATAGGAAGGCTACATTTGACCACGGAATTGCTTGGCTTTTTGTTGATGAGGAGGTATTTGTGCATTACAAGTCATGATGTGAATATTTTACCCTTTTTATTATATCTCCAGCATTTTCTAATGTTGGACATATGGGACTGATTTATGACCCTTCGAATTATGACCTTGGACTTGGGATTTTTTTTTGCTTCTGAACCCTCTGATTGCTATTTACTTCGATGTTGTGCATGTTCACATATTGGCATCTCACACTACATCCTGTTAATATAATATCTCATTATCTGAAATAGGAGAGATAAGCATGTATGACTGATAAATAGTTTAAGGCACATTGTTTTAAAATAGTGAGGGTAGGTACCTCCACTAATTTGCTGAAAAAAACACTATACCATGATGAATAAAAGCCCCAAACTTAATAAAAATAAAGTTTTATTATCAAAATGTTTGCTATTATTAAGTGGAAAGACCAAAGTATTTTTTTATTATTTTATTAAATATTTTAATCCTTTCTAACATGTTCTAAATTTTCATTAAAAATTTTGTTTTTCTTGCATCAGTTGGTAAGCCAAAGATTAGCATGGGAATTTTTTTTTGTCAGTAAAAAACATTGATTTAAAAATTCTTGCAAAAATCAAATAATTGTCAGATTTTAATGAAATTTTCAAGGCTTATTTACAAATGAATGAAATTATATTTTAAATATTTTTTTTAGAAAATCTTGGTAATCATATTTTTTGTTTTACATTTGTTACCCCCACCCCTTACTTAATTTTATGAAATATCAAGATATTAAAATTCTACACCTTCTTATTTATATTAGTTAAAATCAGGACTCCTTTGAGAATTTAAATCTTCATTTTTTTTTTTACTTTTTGTCAAAACACCATTTACCAAAAATCTGCTCTAAATTGTAAAATAAAAAATGCAATAAAACTAAGACATTATTTAGTTAGAAAAGCTTTTAATTACTTTTATAAATAAATATTAATGACACTTGTGTTCATAAAAAAAAATTTCAATGAATAATGAATTTTTACAAGAATTGTATTTTTTTTAAATTTTAATTAGAATAATTTAAGTTTTAAATCTTTTTAAAATTCCATATTAATTTCACCTGTTTAGATATTATTATTATTAAGTAAAATATATATTTACTAATCATAAATGGAAATGCTAAGTTCAAGTCAACAAACACCAATATTTTGAAAAGAAATTTGAATTTGTTTTGTATGTGTATTAATGTATCAATTTTCTTTGTAGATATCATTAGAAAATTACAGCAATAACTATAGTAAATTTAAAGCTAGAAAGTATCTAAAATTCAATAAAACATTAGATTATGGAGAATGCTTTCTGAAATTTTAAAGTAAGTAATAAAAGTAATTAAAGTTATATATAAAAGGTGCTCACATTATATTCATTTTTTTTAAATGACTAAAGCCCCCATAGAACAATATTGGATAAATCATAAAGTTGTCAAATATGTCAACAGCTTAAATAAACAGCTACTGCTGTGTTAAAAAATGCATTTCTGCAATATTTTAAACTTAAAGTAAATAACAGTTGTTTCAAATAAAACTAATTATACTATAAATCAGCTAATATCCCTCAAATAAAGTTTCAGAAAAGTATATTTTATTTTTGGAAAATATTTTAAAAGAAAATTATATTGCAATAAGCATAAGCTAAAATCAATTTTTTTAGAAAAACAAAAAAAAACTCCTTCCAGTCAATTTAAATTAGTTTTGAAATACAGCAAAGTATTTTGCTTATTAGAAATATTAAATTTAATCTCATGAAATTAAAAATAAAATAAAATCTTCAAGAAAGATTTTTCATTTTTAAAAATTCATTTTAAACCTTATGTATTGCAAATTAGTGGAGGTACCTAGATAAGGGCTTTATTCACCTCACCCCCTCCCAGTTCCTGTGAACTTTCAATCAAAGTGATGCTTGTGCATCTGTTGAAAGAAATTTATGCATCTCAAAATTCTGTTGCAAGGATTTTTTTCATCTAAGGTTAACATGGTTTTTGTCTGTAATTAATAATTAAATGTTTGATATTGGCTTTATTCATGTAATCAGAGCTAATATTTCTTGTGTAATAAGCTTTTTATTATATCTTATTTGTAACTTGTTTTGTTGTAGGTGTTTCAGCCTCCTCCTCCAAACTGTAGATTGTGTGTTGTTGCTACTAATGTGGCTGAAACTTCATTAACAATTCCAAATGTCAAATATGTAGTCGATTGTGGAAAAGTAAGTACAAAATTTTAAGTCATTTAAATTTCAGTTTCTTTTTTAAGTAATAAAAGAATTTTACTTATTTTTTTACAACCAATGATTTTTTTTAATTACTTCATTTTCAAAGGTAAAAACCAAATACTGTGATAAAGTAACAGGAGCTTCAACATTCAAAGTGACTTGGACTTCTAAAGCTTCAGCTAGTCAGAGGGCAGGTCGTGCAGGACGTGTTGGCCCAGGACATTGTTATAGGTATGAATATCCTTTCATCATCAATAAAAATATGACTTACTGAGTTAATACAATTTGAAAATGTCCTTATGCTTAAAATATAGGATATTTTAACACTTGGAAAAATGAAAAACATTAATAGCAGCCAAGTAGAAGCATATTAAACTCACACATATTTGAACAACAGTTTTAATAATCTCCATTTCACACTGCTTCTTTTCAGCATGTTGGAAGATTTTTCATTTTAAAATATATCATGAGACACTAGAAAATTGATTACTTGTTAAGAGTGAAAATGTTAATAACAATAAATCTCTAGTTTATAAAAACAAAAAAAAATATTTTTAAAAGAGGAGGTTAAAGAAATGAAATTGATAAAACTTCTAACAAGGTATTTTATTACTCTTTATAATTTTAACTGTGCTTTTGTTTTACAATTTTGGTAGGCTTTATTCATCAGCTGTATATAATGACTTTGAAGAATTTTCATTACCTGAAATCCTTCGCAGACCAATAGATGATATTGTTCTTCAAATGAGAGTAAGTTTTTTGGGGGTTTTTTTTGCATTTATTTTTTGTGTGTTTGTTTTAGGCTCTCTTTTTTGTCACCATATTGCTTTAATGTGTTTCTCTGTTTTTTGTTATCTTTGTGTTTTTTTTTAACTACTTAACTCAGAGCCAAAAAGAAAGCATTATTTTCTTGTTCATAAGTTCTTTTCACCAAAGAAAAAGTAACACTATAAAAACAAATGTGTTAAAAATGTGTTAACATTACCATTTTTATTACTATTATTAAATTTTGTACTCCAGCAAAAATATTTTAATATAAAGTATAAAACGAGAGTATATAAAATACTGGCTTTAATATTTAGCTCTTTTCTTTACTAAGATGATTTAAATACATAACATGACTGCAAAATATTAAATTGAATGTATAGATGTCTTATGTAAATACAGATTTGTTTAATACCTTCAGATGATTTAATCCTCTTTACTGAGATTTGTTTTATGTATATGCAAAAATTACCAGTAATTTTTTTTTTTTTTTTTTTTAACCAAGACTGTTTAAAGAAAAAAAACTTTTGTACATCTCTAAAAATATATTAATTTCCAAAAGAATTCATGCTTTACTTATAATATATACACTATAAATTCAATTTTGTCTTTTTGAAAATTTGTTGCCTTTGATGAGAGTTTTATTGGATTTCATCATTTTTTTTCCTTTATAGTTTCTGGGTATTGATAAAGTAATTAATTTTCCTTTCCCAACATCACCAGATAAGAAACAATTGCTGGTAAGTAAAAAAAGAAAAAAAGAGTGGTAGGATATTAACTCTTTTCTTCTTTAATGCAAGTTTACTATTTTTATTGAAAATTTAATCATTTGTTACACGTATAATAGCCTTGTTCTGTCAGTAATGCTTCTATTAATTCTTGAGTACTGACACTCGCTTTCATCTGGATTTTCAATATCTGCTCAAAATAAAATATTTTTCAAGGCATTTATATTACACATATAATTATCCCATTCTTTTACTATTGCCTGTATTAATTCCTGACCCCAGACAATCCCTCTTCCCTTTTTCATCATTGCACAGCATGTAGATTTAGTTTCAAAGATTGTTAGATTAAATTTTATATATGCTGTAAAATCTATATTTAATCATTATTTTTTCCCTACAACTAGAAATATTTACTTAGTAAGTATAAAAATGCATAAAGGTAAGCAGAAAGATGGAGTAGTAGTAAAGTCAGTGGTCATTGATAAAAATTGAAACTTTGCTTTTATGTACTAGATTAAAATGCAGACAATGATAATAAATAAAAATAAGCATAGTTGTGGATATTGTTTTATTCCCCTTCTAGAATTCTCTCTCTCTCTCTCTATATATATATATATATATATATATATATATATATATATAATTGTGTGTGTGGTCATTAGTATGAACAAAAGGTTTTGATGTATTAGGTTGTTATATGAATTCGTTTGTTTTTTTTATAATTAGTTTTAATGCTCATTATTTATTAATAGTTCTGATGACTCATTCAGCAATTCATTGTTTATGACCTTCTGTTAACAATTCACTAACTTTTCAATACCTCAATGATAGAAATCACTAGGTTTTGACTTGAAAAATTCATCAACCCACATATTAAGCTCCACATTGTTATTGGATGAAACACCCTTCAAATTGTTAGAAAATCAATGAAAAAGAGGCTAAATCAAGAGAATATGGTGGATGAGACAGAACTTCCCAAATAAGCTCTTTAATTGAATGTTTGGTCATGTTAGCAGTATCATATTGAATAATCACACTGTATCAGTGGTCAGATCTTTTCATCTGAATTGCCTCTTTGAGCCTGTTCATTTGTTCAGCATACAGCTTAGCATTGACCATTTGTTTTTTGTTTTTAAGTATTTAATCTCCATACACAGCACAAATGCCTTGAGCAGCTTTGGCAGCTTTGTGACCTTGATTAAAAGCAAAGAGAAGATGCCAAACATACTCATTCTTGTCTAAAATAAAATTTCATTAATCTTAGACAAGTTTTACAGGATGGCCAAAATTATTAAGAAGCAAAAAAATTCTACGAAACATTATTCTTTGAGATCATTCAGAGAACATCAGAAAAAAAACAAATGAATGTATGTCACAACCTAATATTTTTTTAATAAGTACAACCTGTCATATCATGAGTTATGTAAACAGTTGGTTAAAAATAAAATTTTAACTTGTGTGTGTTTGTGTGGAGAAAGAACAAAAATTCTGATTTCAGAATCTATAATATTGTATGTAATTGACTTTTGCTAAATCTATGGTGGTGTTGGTGGCTTAACAGTTAACAACATAGAAAATGGAACAAATGAATTTGTAAACATGCAATGCGACCATTGCCCAAGATTTCCACTGACCAGGCAATGATTGCTCCATGTTGCATTCCAATCCTTGATCTCATTCGTGTGCTCCAAAAGTTGGGAAAGAGCGTACTGCATGCCCTCAAGGTAATGCAATGAAAGAAACTTCACAGCGAGAAATAAGAATGCGAACCCTGTTTCCCATATTATATATAGGTGTTTATTCAGGACTGCGCCTGCTTATCTGAGTGGGTAGGTAGGTAGGTGATACTTAGAACAACTTCTACTATGTCAATTTGTCCCCCTACCAACCCCTTGCCCATCTGCTCATCTCGATATGATGGCTGGCTTTGGAACTGCGACACAGTCACATCCATTTCCTGCCAAGTGTGGACCACCACTCTCCCCAATCCCAAGCATGACTTAATATAGACCAGCACCCGGATATAAATGATTTGCAGTTTTGTTGCCACTTGATCGCCCAAAAATCCCACATCCACCCCTTTACTTCTCATTACCCTTACCAGATGACATTTAGAAGACCAAACTTCAAAAGGAACCATCTGCTGGTTTATCAAACAGAAATATTTGAGATCAAGATAAAACCACTTCTTCCCTTTCTATGTGGGTGTCTATATTATTACAAATTAATTTCAAACTTTGACTGGGACAGTTTTCATTCACTTTGCATTAATATCCTTGGGAAAGACACGAATCCATTTCTCCCCTCACATATAGGTGAGCATGTAAAGCAAAGGACTAGTTTGGTGGTTAGGTCTCATAATTTCACACTTGAAATTGCTTGTTATAACTGTAAGTTCCATGCTAATAGTTTGTGGAACTATCTTCTTACTTTCCTGTCAATTATGATCTTCAAAAATTTAAATGCAGTTTTATTTGTTATCTCTCTCCTTGGATCCTGTTCTTTTATAGTTCCCTCTGTTTCTTTCACTCTTAATAACCCCTAGCGTCTTAGTGGCTTTTATTGTCTTGCTTCGTGGGAAATGAAAAAAAATGTAGAGCCATTTAAAGGAAGTTTATTTTGGATATTCGACATTAGGTCAGTTCAGAAATCATTCTTTATTGCTGGTACCATGTAACCTAATACAACCCATCACATGTTAAATGGAGAGGAGATGGGCACTGCTGAGTTGCATTGGGAGAACCTATAAAGAAAAACTATTCAGTATAAGAAATGAAATAAAAGTAGATGAAAATCTATGTTTATAGTATTTAAAGAAAAGTAACAAGTTACATTTCTGATTAGCCTTTACTTCTTTATAAGATACAGCTTCATAGGGAAAGACTGACTGGTATCATTCAATACATCCAAAACTAAAGTAATGACATCACTACCAAGCAGACCCTAAACCTATACCAATCTGGATACGAGTAGTCATACTCTTAAAGAGGCCCCTTACATCAAACATCTACTGGGTCTAAAACTCACCCCTGACCTCAAACGGAATGCATATATTTGTGTCATCGTAAAAGGTGTTGGAAAAATATTCAGTTCCTTGTATCGCTCTAGACAATACCCGACTCCCACACCCTATCTTTACAAGAGTCAGATCAGACCATGAATGGAGGATTGCTGCCATATCTGGACTGAAGCTGCTCAATCATCACTGTCCAGCCTCAAAAACAAAATTCAAAAGTGCTTACACTGCCTTGTGGGTAATTTTCCACCCAGCAATCCTTATCCTACAGACGAAACATTGCTAACTTCTCACTACTCTGTCGCTGTTCAGACAAGCTATATTTTTTAGTTCCACCAGCTAGGAGACACCATGCTATGTTCATGGTGGCAAACCATCCCCATTTTTTTCCTGTTCCTTTGATAAGAAGTCCCACTCCATTTCATTTCCAGAACTGTTGCTTTGTGGAACAGACTTCCTACCAACTACAATCATAGCCTCAGAGTCTAGAGTCAACTGATATCTATCCTACACATCTTCATAATGTACACTTATTTATTCTTCTTTCCCTTACAACAATCTTAATCAGTAACCATCTACCTTGAGTGACTCTTGGGCCTTCTATTGGATGAACTAACAGTAAAAAAAAATGTGTGTGTTCAAGCACTATCCAAGAAAGTGAAAATTGCTTAAAAACCTGAAAAAAACATTCTGTGTGTGTTTGGTTTTTTTGGGGGGGGGATAATTTTAACAATTTTATTTTTAATCTCAGAGCACAATAATCAAAATGGGGAACTCTAGCATTCATCACACACCTGCTTTTTTCCTATCATAATTGAATTTGACTGGTTTTTAGAAATTCATAAGAACAATGAACTCATATAGTGAAAGAGATGTCAAAGAATTAACTGGCCTCAAATATATTAGCTGCATTATCCATACATTTAATGAGACACTGAGAAAGGGTCAGTGGTAAAGTTCAAAAATCAACCAATGTAGATTTGGTCTAAAGAACTTTTTTGAATTTTGTAAATTATTGTTGGCCTCATCAGACTGGATATTATTTGTATTTTCAATGACTTGTAATGTTGTATAAACAGAAACTCTTGAAACCTTACAGACTCTCTAATGAGTGTCATATTATTGAAATTAATCTGTAAGAAAGTCTTGTGTAAAACCTAGATTAAATTGCTAGTAATAAATTGTCATTTGTGCCTTTTAACATGCAATATGATAATAAAACATGCTTTTTTGTGTCCAACTAAGAAACTGAACTGATTTCATTGATAATCTTTTTATTTCTTTTTAGGCTGCCGAAAAGTTGCTTGTCTCTTTAGGAGCTTTAAATAAAGCTGACATACCAAAATCTTTCAAAGAATCCAAAAGTGAGCAATTTAATTTTTTTTTTTTTTTTTTTTTTTTTTATGTTAATATTTTCTTAAAATCATGACATGATCTTTTTTATTTGATGTTTGAAAACATGAAACTTTAAAAAAGCTTTTAAAATAAGTTGTTCAGATTATTAACCTCATATTTTATTATTTTGAGCAAAGTCATAGAATGAATCTACATTGAAATGTCCAGTAATAACAAATCGAACACTGAGATCAGTAGTGCAAACAATTTCTGGAATGATACCCCAGCCAATAACAATCAGAAAGAATCATTGGTTTAATAACTACTTTCAATACCATTTCAAATATGGAGGAAATATCCTTAAAATATGAAGGAAACTGTTCATCTGCTTTCAGTTATTATGATTCATTTCTTTGTTTTTAGATGTTGTTACTACACTGACAAACATTGGACAGAGTATGGCAACACTTCCTGTGTCTCCTCGTTATGCCAAAATGCTAGTGCTCGCTCATCAGCATGGTCTTATGCCATATGCCATAGCTATGGTGGCTGCTCTATCAGTTCAAGAACTTTTCCTTCCTATCAAAAAAACTCCTCAAGATAG